TGTTGTATTCTCTGTTCGGCTTAGTTTTTCGGATCTTTGCTGTGGAGGGACGGCGTGGTGCTTCTGCCTAGAGCACCATTTTGCCGGAACTCTCCTATATGCTATGTTTTGACCTGTCCATACGTAACTATGATAAAGTTTAATTTATAAATTAGGAAGAGTAAGAGATAAACAACAACAACTATAATAAAAGGGAGAACAATTATAACAATATAATCAAAGTTATGCGAATATGGTCCCCAGGTGGGATAGAGCTGGGAGGCGTGAGATTTCATTACGCTACTCATTTAGCGTTTTGGGACCGTGGTTGATCACGGGTAACTTACACTGCAGAAAGCAAAACCACGGATAAAGGGGCTGGGGGAGGCTTCTGTACTCTCAGGCTGTGAACTTCATGAAAATGAACCAGTTTCTCTGGACCTTGGTTTCCTCGTCAGTAAAATGAGAGCATACCTCCATCCAGGGCTGGCTGCTCCATGAGGCACAGCAACGAGGGCCCATACAAATGTTTTCATTTCTTTTAAAATCAGAAGAAAACCAAAATAACTTTTAGGGTTGAAGAAAAGTTTTTTCATTTTTTAATCACATCAGAAAAAAACAATGAACTTTTTAGGATCCATGCAAATCTATTAAGTTTTGTCTAAAGTAGGAAAGAAAATGTTAATGTAGAGTCATATCAAAAATAATTTTTGAAATTGATGTTCTCGTGCTGGGAAGAACACAGGAAGGCAGGGGGCTGAGTACCAGAGCATGGAAGCCATGACTCAGCCCTGCCTTCCCTACCAGGCTCTCGAGAGGATACGAGGAAGCATGGCACGTGATATGCTGAGCACATCACAGCCATTCACCAGATTTTAGCTTCTTCTTGTCGCTAGCTGCTGCCAAGTAGTCCCCTGACTCATGGCGACCCCACGCACAATGGGCTAGGACCGTTCTGATCCACAGGGTTTTCATTGGCTGCTTTTGGAAGTAGATCACCAGGCCTTTCTTCCTAGTCTGTCTTAGTCTGGAGCCTCCCCTGAAATCTGTTCAGCTTCATAGCAACATGCAAGCCTCCACGGACAGAGGTGCATTGGCCAGGAATCGAACCCAGGTCTCCCGCATGATACTAGCTATCCTACACAAAGAGGCCTCCGCAGCTACAACCACCTGGCTGGTATGTCTTCCGTTATAGTTTTACCTTGAGGACACTTAAAATTCCTTCACTGGCTTCAGGGTCAGTCAAAATGTCAAAACACCCCTCTTCACTGCCATTCAATATGTTGAATTTTACTCCCCAAGCTGGCATAGATGGCAAATCACCGTCTTGGACTAGGAGACGCGGCAAGCCACGGCTGCCGAAACCTTGGGGAATGTGCATCGCATACTGAAGGAAGCAACTGTCATTTCAGTGTCAGTGAGACAAGGAAACACCAGTGCACAAGGAAAAGAAAGAGAATGGAGGTCCCTCAGCACAACAGCCTAGATATTTCTCTTGCTATTGAGCATGGCCTTAAGGAATTCGAAACTCTGTCTGTTACAACAGAACAAACATCAAAAATCAACAGCTCTCCGTGGTTTGGTGTCTCCGGCTGAATAATTTTGAAAGTTCTCTTAAATCCAACTCAATGCACTATTTTTCTTAGAATCTGAGAAAAATAATAACAGACATTCTAGTTCCTGCTGTCTGAAAAAAACTCACTGTTCCTCTAAAATAGGACACTTGTGATTGTTTAGATGAAGGTGATCATTTTTCGAACACATAGAGATCTCTAAAATAGCTTGTTATTCAGTATTTTTGGTGACTAGATAACATCTCTAGACAAACACATCAAAATAACAGCACATATTTTGTTCCCTGGGCTTGCTTTTGAGAGCACAGCTTTTTACCAAACCTGGGGAGGGTTTTGAAACAACACTCAAATGTAATACGATGTTACAGGGACTATATAATTTTTGACGAGGTGCTCTCATTTAGAAACACTTAACTTGCTTTATAAAATTTTTTTTTGTGATTTAGATGACACCCTTGAAGGATAATAATTTATGTCATTGGTTCAACGATGGGTACTACCATGTGCCAGATTGTGTTTTAGGTGCTATGAGCAAAATAGGTAAAAATTAACTGGGCATGGGCGTGGGGAGGCTTAGACAATAAACAAAATAAGTAAATTAAGTAGATGCTGTGAAGAAGAAGGCACAAAGGGGCCCGGGGGTGCAGTAGGATAGGGGTGGAAGGGTTTTTATCTGGGTCAAAAAAGGCCTCCTGCGTGAAGAAAACCAAAGACACAAGGGAAAGATTAGTCCAAAGGACTAATGGACCACAACTCCCACGGCCTCCACCAGACTGAGTCCAGTACAACTAGATGGTGCCCGGCTACTGACACTGACCGCTCTGACAGGGATCACAGCACAGGGTCCCGGACAAAGCTGGAGAAAAATGTAGAACAAAATTCTAACTCACAAAAAAAAAAAAAAAAGGCCAGACTTACATAAATGTATAAATGAGTATAATTGAGCACAGAACTCGGGCCCGCTGCTTCAGGGAGCGAGGTGCTTTATGTTCTGCTGGGTGAACGCAGCCCTGTGGTTGTTGTCTTCTTGCACAGTGACATGAACAGCGGCTGTGAATGACAACTGTGGTCCCCCGAAATCTCTCGCTCTGATCAGTAATGTAAACAAAGGAGCAGTCTACACGGGATGAGAAGGAAAACTCAGTCCTCCGAGTACAAGAAAGGGAAATACTAACAAAAAAAGTCCCGCTTTAGCAACTTCAATAGCAAGTCCACTCCCAGAGGGCTCCTCACTTAAGACAAAGATCCCAAGTCTGGAGCTCATTGAGAGGGAACATAATCCATTTTTAAAAAATAATATAATCTACGCCAAGAGTATGGCCCCCGGACACCCTTTTAGCTCAGTCATGAAGTCACTCCCAAGGTTCACTCTTCAGCCAAAGATTAAACAGCCCCATAAAACAAAACGAGACTAAAGGGGCACACCAGCCCAGGGGCAAGGACAAGAAGGCAGGAGGGGACAGGAAAGCTGGTAATAGGGAACCCAAGGTTGAGAAGGGGAAGTGTTGACATGTTGTGGGGTTGGTAACCAATGTCAGAAAACAATATGTGTACTAATCGTTTAATGAGAAGCTAGTTCTGTAAACCTTCATCTGATGTACAATACAAAAAAAGATAATAATAATATAATCCACGAATCCTCATAATCCAAGCATCCTGAGGGTCGTATTTCTCCACTAATCCGAGCAACCCGGAAGCTGCTCTGTGTCAGCAGCGTCTGAGAAATGAGGGAATAAAGGACTTGAGAATTTGGGGTGTTTTCTTGATCCAAACCAACTGTTAACATCTGAAAAATAGGTCTGGAGAGAATGTTTTACAACGGTTACTATTGGCTAACCCAGCAGGAGGATGGACTCTGCTAAATGGCATGGGGGCATACACGAGAAATAATTAAATATTTAAGCCTAAAACTATGGGCATACTAGACAAAATAAAGATGAATATTTAAATAACCATAAAGTCAAGAAGAACTTTATAATCAGGATTGCAAAAGCAGAAACTTTAAAGGATAAAATTGATAAATCACATTCTATCTTAAAACGTATGGGGGAAAAGAAAAAAAAACTCTAGGCAAAATTTAAAAGGAAATGATAGACCGGGAAAGCATACTTGAGACATATGGCGAAACACAGAGTCACATTCTTAACCTCGAATAATGAGGTTAAAGGCAAGCTAAAAATGGCACACCAACAGAAAAATAGAAGAATAGAAGGAGTAATTAAGAAAAGAAATAGAAATGGCCATAAAACCTATTAAAACTCTCGGATATATAATCATCAAAGATGAACAATACATGAGGCACCCTCATATGGTTTTTGGTGGACAAATAAACCAGAGCGCTTAAGTTGTGTGTGCAGTTCAAACCAGGAGTTCCAGTTTTATGAACGTATGCTAAGTAGATAACGTTAGATGGGGGACACGTATCTAGTTCAAATATGTTCCTTGAAACATATTTTCTAAAACTAACACAAATTGACAAAACATAAACGTCCAGCAATAAGAGATTGGTTAAATACCTTAAACCAAAACCAAACCCATTGCTGTTGAGTTGATTCTGACTCACAGCCCTGTGTATGACAGAGGAGAACTGCCCCATAGGGTTTCCAAGGAGCGGCTGGTGGACTCGATCTGATGACGTTTTGGTTAGCAGCCTTAGCTCTCAACCACTGCACCACCAGGGCCCCAAATACCTTAAGACACATCATAAAATAAAACATTACACAACAGGATGCCGTCTGAAAAGACTGGTGAATTACAGTAAAACTGCATTTTTTAAACAGAAAGTTCGTAAATATACACCTATAAAAAAGCATACTCACATATATGTGTAAATATTTAATGCCACCACTTGTCTGTCAGTTTGTTATATTGTGGTGGCCTACGTGTTGCTGTGATGCTGGAAACTTTGCCACCAGTATTTCAAATACCAGTAGAGTCACCCACGGTAGACAGATTTCAGCAGAGCTTCTAGACTAAGACAGACTAGGAAGAAGGACCTGGCGATCTACTTCAGAAAAAATTGGCCAGTGGAAACCTTATGAATAGCAAAGGAACACTGTCTGATATAGTGCTGGAAGATGAGCCCCTCAGGTTGGAAAGTGCTCAAAATATGACTGGGAAAGAACTACCTCCTCAAAGTAGAGTGGAACTCAATGATGTGGATGGAGTCAAGCTTTTGGGAACTTCATTTGCTGATGCGGTATGACTCAAATGAGAAGAAACAGGTGCAAACACCCATTAATAATCGGAACATGGGATATACGAAAAATGAATCTAGGAAGATTGGAAACTGTCAAAAAATCAAATGGCACACATAAAGATCAATATCCTAGTCATCAGTGAGCTGAAATGGACTGGTATTGGCCATTTTGAATCAGACAATCATAAGGTCTACTATATGGGGAATGACAAATTGATGAATGACATCATATTCATTGTCAAAAAGAACACTTCAAGATCTATCCTGAAGTACAGTGCTGTCCGTGATACGATAATATCCATATGCCTACAAGGAAGACCAGTTAATATAACTGTTGTTCTAATTTATACGCCAACCACTAAAGCAAAAGATGAAGAAATTGAAGATTTTTACCAACTTCTGCATTCTGAAATTGATCAAACATGCAATCAAGATGTATTGATGATTACTGGCGATTGGAATTCGAAAGTTGGAAACGAAGAAGGATTGGTAGTTGGAAAATAATGGTGTTGGTGATAGAAATTACACCGAAGATAGCATGGTAGAATTTTGCAAGCCCAACAACTTATTCATTGCAAATACCTTTTTTCAACAACATAAACAGCAGCTATACACACGGACCTGGCCAGATGGAATACACAGGGATCAAATCAACTACATCTGTAGAAAGATGGAGAAGCTCAATAGCATCAGTCAGAACAAGGCCAGGGCCAACTGCAGAACAGACTATCAATTGCTGATAGGCAACTTCAAGCTGAAGCTCAAGAAAATTAAGGAAGTCCGTGAAAGCAAAAGTACAACCTTGAATATATCCCACCTGAATTTAGAGACCATCTCAAGAATAGATTTGATGCGTTGAACACTAATGACTAAAGATCACACGGGTTGTGGGAAGAAAGCAAAAAGTCATTAAAAAGACAGGAAAGACCAAAATTCGTGTTAGACGAGACTCTGAAACTTGCTCTTGAATGTAGAGCAGCTAAAGCAAATGGAAGAAATGATGAAGTAAAAGAGCTGAACAGAAGATTTCAAAGGGTGGCTCTAGAAGACAAAGAATTATGATGAAATGTGCAAAGACTTGGAGAAAGAAAACCAAAAGAAGAACAGGCTCAGTATTTTTCAAGCTGAAAGGACTGAATAAAAAATTCAAGCCTTGAGTTACACGATTGAAGGATTCTATGGGCAAAATATTGAACAACACAGGAAACATCAAAAGCAGATGGAAGGAATACATAGAATCACTGTACCAAAAAGCACTGGTCGACATTCAACCATTTCAGGAGGCAGTATGTGATCAAGAACCGATGGTACTGAAGGAAGAAATCCAAGCTGCACTGAAGGCATTGGCAAAAAAACAAGGCTCCAGGAATTGACAGAACACCAACTGAGAAATGTTTCAACAGATGGATGCAACACTGGAAGCGCTCACTCATCTATGCCAAAAATTTGGAAGAGAGCAACCTAGCCAACTGAGTGGAAGAGATCCATATTTGTGACCATTCCAAAGAAAGATGAGCCAACAGAATGTGGAAATTATTGAACAATATCATTAATATCACACACAAGTAAAATTTTGTTGAAGCTAATTCAAAAATGGTTGCAGCAGTACATCAACAGGGACCAAGGTGCGTCTAACCCAAGCCACAGTCTTTTCACTCACTTCATAAGCATGCAAAAGTGGACAATGAATAAGGAACACAGAAGAAGAATTGATGCCTTTGAATTGTGGTGTTGGCGAAGAATATTGAATATACCATGGACTGCCAGAAGAACAAATAAGTCTGTCTTGGAACAAGCACAGCCAGAATGCTTCTTGGAAGCAAGGATGGTGAGGCTTCATCTCACATACTTTGGACATGTTACTGGGGGGACCAGTCCCCAGAGAAGGACATCAAGCTTGGTAAAGTAGAGGGTCAGCCAAAAAGAGGAAGACCCTCAACGAAATGGACTGACACAGTGGCCGCAATAATGGGCTCACACATAAAAATGATTGTGGGGATAGAGCAGGACCAGGCAGAGTTTTGTTCTGTTGCTACGAGTCGGAACCAACTCGACGGCACCTAACAACAATAACGACAACATTTAAAAAAAAATCACACCCACGTATCTGTGTAAATACATAAAGGATACATGTACACATTTTGAACTATGCATAGATGAAAGGGGAAATGTGTGTCTACATTCACGAATACACATTTGTAATTATATATGAAAGTCTGGGTATACATACACATAGATATGTATAACATACAGTGTGTGTATACACACACACTCATAAAATGCAAAGAAGCATACTGCGAGATTATAAACCCAAACGTTTGTGGCAATTACCTCTAAATGGTAGTATTCAACATGCTTTCTGTTTCAGTCTTTTCATTTCTTGGAAGTCTCCAAATTTCCTACACTAAAGACTAATTTATTTTGCAAAATGAATAATGCTTCTCTGCTATTAAAGGAAAGACGCGCAGCGTCTGAGCTAGGAGACTTTGTGTGCCACCTCGTTGCCATTTTACAGACGAGAAACTCGCAGACAGATCCGGGAACATGCCACCCCGAAACCAAAAGCCAAACCAGTTGCCGTCGAGTTGACTCTGACTCCTGGAAAGCCCACGTGTGCAGAGTGGAACTGTGCTGCATAGGGTTTTCAAGGCTGGGACCTTCTGGAAGCAGATCGCCAGGCCTTTCTTCACGGCTGCATTGGGCTTTATTGTTAGATTAGACTTTACATATCAGGAGTTCAAAGGGACACCACTGCACACCGTTTCATCCACCTCAGGGCGGTTCGCTGTCATCCAAGGCTGTGACCTTTGAGAAACGGGCACTGATGTGTCTCCTGGGGTTAATACCTGGATCAGTTTCCCCATCGCTATCCAAGGAGAACAACTTTCAGGACAGACAGGAGGAGCCTATAGCCCCAGGCACTCACTTTGCTTTCCTTTGCCCTGATGTTAAATTCCTTCTCCAGAAACTGGGGTGCGGTGGTCATTGACATCACTGACCCTGATGTTGAAAGTCAAGGATGGACCCCCGATTTTCCCTGCTGAGTGATTCACAACATCAGCACGAACGTGGGACCCAGAGAACCATATTAACATTGCAGAGCCATTGACCAGGGACAGTGATCACATAAAGTGAGTGGAGCTGTGTGTTTTGTGTCTGTCTCCTCCACTGGATGGATGGAAGTTTCCCCGAGGGCAGGGATCACGTGGCTCTCATTCACCGTTAACCCAGGGGCTGAGCACAGGCTGTTGCTGTGGGCCTTCAAGTTGATCCCGACTCAGAGTGAGCCCATGTGACCGAGGAGAACTGCCCCATGGGGTTTTTTTGGTTGCAATCTTTACGGAAGCAGATCACCAGGTCTTTCTCCTGGGGAGCCGCTGGTGAGTTTGGACCACAAACTTGTTGGTTAGCAGCCGGTTAGCAGCTGATCGTTAAACCATTGTACCATCAGGGCTCCCCTGGCACAGACTTAAAAAAATCAAACCCATTGCTGTCGAATCAATTCCGACTCACAGCAATCCTACAGAACAGAGTAGAATTGCCCCATAGGGTTTCGAAGGAGCGGTTGGTGGATTTGAATTGTCAACCTTCTGGTTAGCAGCCGT